TCTCCCCCTAGTCACATATACAGAGGGCAGTCAGCATTCTTTCCCATGAAGGCCTGGCTGACCAAATAGTGCCTATTCAGGAGGGCAAGCATCTGGCCGGAAAGGCCTAATTTACATCTAGAGATAACACTGGAAATTGCAATTTGTTCACTCCTTGTTCCTTAATTGCAACAGCAACTAGAGCCTGGCATTTAGGGCACCAAGAAAAGAAAACATGCCTTGTAACTAAAATGTAATTCTTTAAGTTTTGTTTTGTATGTGAGTTATTGTGAACTATGGAATGTTGTTTTGTATGCGAGTTATTGTGAACTTTGGAATGCTTATGCGGAAGACCTGTCTTGAGAACATTTGACAGACATAATTTGAAATCATTGATTTCTTGTGTATAAATTGGACCTTCAGTGAAGTGTTCGGGGCTGCAGTCTGGAATCTTGGAGAGACTTTACACTCCCAAGGTTCTCATTCTCAGCCCGAGAATTCTCGTTTGTGGGAGGGACTTTTGGTTGCTTTGTGGGGTTACCTTAGGCATTTTTTTTAGATTCCGGCCAGGCGCCTCTGGTCACTGGGCTGGACTGTAGCTGGTATTTAACATTGATAGTTTGTAATAAAGAGATATTGTTTAAGGAATTTTGTCTTGTAGTTTGTTATAAGAAAATCCAGTGTTGTGTGCTTGCCTTAGTGAGTGGCAAAACAATAAAGAATTGAGCTTTTAAGGGGGAGCCCTGAGAGCTAGAATTCCCAGAAATTCTCCCCACAATCAGAAGGGCGCACCACTACCATGCTCCTGATATGCACAGTTGGCATGTTGTCTGAACAGGGCAACACAAGTATTTTGCAAACATGCACAGCTTCGGCACATGCAAACTGACCACTAGATTCTTCAGGATTCTGGTTTCTGCATGACAAAGTTGTGTGTGCATGTGATGTCTTACCCCAGTTCAAATTTCATGGCAGCATTATATATTAGGAGCATTTAGGGTGGCATCAATATGCATGGTTGCTGGGTTGCCTGTAAGAGTGGATGTAATATCTGAAAAGGGTTCCTGTTTCTATCCAAAGGAAACTTGGACATTGTTGTCCTGTAGAAGGGTAAAGTATTGCTAGTAAAGAAATCATGATACCATACAAAAATACAATTCCCAAGATTCTTTGGGCGAAAGCATGAGAGCTGAGGCAGTTCCAAACCAATTGCAGTGTGTAGGATATACATGTGGTCTGATCTAGCCCTGTAGGCAGTGCAGGATATAGCCTGCTAGTTCCACAAGCTTGACAATCAAATGTGCATTTGCTTTTGTTTTTTGGATCCTGATTTTTTCCCCTTTACAGGAGCAAATTTTCCTGCCTTGAGTCCAGGTTGTGCAAATGTTGGAGTCCTAAACTTATTTGGCATCTATCTGTGTGGTAATATTCCCAACTGCTAAGACTGCTGCAAACTCATGAACCCTCGGTTTCCCCTGCATTCGCCTCAGAATAGTCTTGCTCATTCCTCTTATCGTATTTCCCAGTCATCATTTGACTTTCCTAATTAAAAGTCCATCTGGGCTTCCAACTGCTAAATAATAATTAAAAAGCCTTCATGAGTGAATGCTTCTTGATTTTTGTGTTCTTGGGCAAAACTAGACATTTTGTGTGGTGTAGCTGGGGGGAGGCTCAAGGTAGCAGGTATTCCACTAATATGTGAGTGTGTACACATGCACACACCCCATATGGTTTTCCTCTTGTGGGAGAAAAGATGAGTCAGCATGTTGTAGTGGCTAGAGTATCAGACTGGAATCTGGGAGACCCAGGTTCAAATCCCTCTTCTGCCACAGAAACTTGCTGGGTGACCTTGGGGCAGTCAATCTCTCTCAGCTGAACTTGCTTCACAGGGTGGTTGTTATGAGGATGTTGGGAGAAGGAGGAGAGAATGATGTTGTATGCCCCTTTAGGTCATCCACTGGGGTGAAAAGCAAGGTATAAATATCTAAAGAGATTAAGAGAAAGGATTAAGGTAGGGTTGACAGTCCCCCACTGGGGGTGGAGGATCCCCCAGTTTAGAAAAAAAAAACCACTTCAGGGCAGCAGGGGGGAAATGTCCCCTGAAAAGGTACGCTCTATCGTTCCTCCCTCCTAATCTCTATGGAAGGGAGACAAATTTAAGTTTAGAGTGTCCGCTACACTTAGAAGCTAGACTGCACCACAAGAGGAGTAGGTTAGAGAGAGCTCTCCTCATAGGGGCCAAAGCCTGCCAGCACTGTCAGCCTGCCCACCTCTATTCAGTTCAGGCTGACTGGTGGGCACTCACTTGTTCTTTTCAAATTGTTTGTGTGTGCGAGGTCAGGTCGGGTGGGGGAGGCAGCATCTTACAAGTTTACTTAGGTGCCTGGCTAGACCCAAGGAAGTGCAGCTGTACGCATAGTACAGCTTGAGAACAGCTGCCTCTTGAGCCATCCCCTTATTTAACCAAGCCTCCCCACAGGTGTTGTTGTTGTTGTTGTTGTTGTTGTTATTATTATTATTATTATTATTATCTTTGTACCCCGCCCTAAACCACGAGTGAGCTCAGGGCAGCTTACAACATAAGATTCATACAACAATAAAACCAATAAAACCAATAAAACAACAGATGGCAAAATAAACAAGAACAGAAGGGACCCATGCTTCATGTCAGTCAATTAGTCCTTCAAGTATTCCTCATCCCCAACCAGCTGAGAGAGAGTGACTGAGAGATTGATCTGTGAATCTGGAAATCCATGATTCAGCTCATTCTTCTGTCATGAACTTAGTCAGTAGCTATAACTAAGACTCTCTGTCTCAGCATCCACCCCACCCCTTCATTCCTCTACAATATGAGGGCAATACTATATACCTACCTGAAAAGGTGGTCAGTAAAGATTGCAAAAATATGCGATTTGCGTACTCTCACTTGGTTGTCACTGTGGAGATATTAAGCACTGTATGATGGCAGAAGACTCATCCCTGAACTTGGAGACTTTTATTGTGTAATGAACTTACTTGAACACAGCTCTGGTGCAGGGGGGGAAACTTACTGTTCTCTGACACATGCACATGCCCATTCAAAGCATATATATGCCACCATCAGGGCTTGAAGCTTATAGTGCAGGGATTATGCAGAAAAAACACATACTCCTTTTAGGTGGTGTATGCGTGTGTTAACAGCATGACATCGGAAGCGGCACTCCCCTACCTGGACGAACGCAAGAAGAGGGAATCCCTCAGCTGAGGTGGCCATTGCTGTATGTGATACAATTGATGGTCTGGAAAGCATTTAAGGAGGTGACAGCCCTAGTCATATTTATATCTGACAAGCGCCTTCGAGCACACACTGGACATACTTTCCCGTCTCTGAAGATTGCTGATTCATGATATCTAGTCCCACAATGTCCCCATGTAGAAGTGTGCTCAAGAGTGTGTGAGTGTGTGTGTGTGTAAAGGGCATCAGCAGCCCTGGACTTCCTTGGGGGTCTCTCCTCTAAATACTAATCAGGGCTGACCCTGCTCAGCTTCTGAGATCTGATGAGATCAGACTAGTCTGGGCCATCCAAGTCAGGGTGCCCAGGATACTACAGATGAGAAATGCAACAAGAAGGGCTGGCTTCAGTGGAATACTCATGTGGCCTGAGCCCCTGGTCTGAAGTCCCCAAAGAGTTCTCAACACTACACACTAACCAAACAAACATTGCTGTCTGTGACAGAATTAGGGCTGAAACCTAATAGCGTCACCAAATTCAGCAGGGCTCCTGCTGTGTTACTGGAGAAAATTCTGGAAGGGGAGCTCTTCTTGTTGCCATTGCTCCACATGGGAAAAGTTTCTCTTCCTGAATGAATTTCTGCTTCTTTCTGCATTTCCACACACGTGTTGAATTTGTGAAGGCTGGCTTCCCTTCCTTAAAGAGACCTGCTGGGACTAAAGCCAAGCCCTGATCATAGACATGGAGGGTCTAGTTCCTTACTAGCGTGAGAAAGGCACTCTGTGCATACTCAAAGGGACTCTCTGCTTTGGTATTATATTGCAAGTACCACAGCTCAGGCGGGCACTGAACATGGGTCTCAGGGCTAAACTCTGGGATATTTGGGCTGAAATATGGGTCTGTTCAGGAGCTGCGGTGGCTCAAGTGGTTAAGACGCTGAACTGCAGGCTGTGGAATGTCGGTAGTTCAGCAGTTTGAGACCCAAGTGTGCTGCATGACAGAGTGAGCTCCCGTCTCTAGTTCCAGCTCCTGCCAACCTAGCAGTTAGAAAGCAAGAAATTGCAAGTAGATAAATAGGTACCACTTCAGTGGGAAGGTAACAGCGTTCCGTGCTCCTTGGTGTTTAGTCATGCCAGCCACATGACCACGGAAATGTCTTCGGACAGCGCTGGCTCTTTGGTTTTGAAACGGAGATGAGCACCACAACCCTAGAGTCGGATTCGACTGGCTTTTGAGCAAGGGAACCTTTACCTTTATGGGTCTGTTCATGACAGGGAGGGAACTGTCTCTAGACCAGAGATGCTTCCTCAGTGGACACAGATGACTCACAGGTATCTTTTCTGATAGCAGTGATGGCTTTTCATGGCTGGTGGCTACTGCAACTGCACATACCTCTCTCTGGAGTAAAACAGTTTGTGATCTGGAATGTAGCCAGCAAAGGGACAAGAGTCTCTTTTTTTGTACTTGGTGTTTGCATGCAGAGACCCTGATGCAGCTCTAAAGCCTAGTTTCTGAGCAACTGGATGCTTGCCCTACACACCCCTTCCCCATGTTCAGCTTGTATATCTGAAAAGAAACAGATCCCCCCCCCAATGCCATAAGTTTCCCACACGTCCTTCACGTAGAAACTGACCCTGTTTAAAGGCTGCTGCCGCTGGAACTTGCAGCTGCTCAAGGAAGTTGGGAGCTATTAAATAATTGTTCTTCCTTCCTTGCTACAGAATGAAAAGCTCTCTCAAAATTTAAAAACATAGACTCACAGACACACAAGAGACCTGGTGATTTTCTTTATTAGTAGCTATTGGGTTTGCAGCATTAAAATGAAATACAAGAGAGCCTGAGAAGTATGAAAATTGAGATCATTTCCCAAATTCACACTGAGATGGAAAGTTTATTGGTTGGGAAGGGACCCAGCAAATGGCATCCTGATCAGCTCACGTTACAGGTGGATGTCTCCACAAATTTTAATGTTCAAAATGCTAAGGATACCTGCTTGGGCACATCCTCCAGCACCTGGCGCACCTAGATGAGAAACAGGAAACATAAATTGGTTATTCATACACGCACACATACAAACACACTCCATACTCAAATGATTTAAGCTATTGTTTTGACATAGGTGGAACTTTCTTCCATATGTGGTGAACATGTAAAAAAGCAAAAAGATATTGGAAGGAAATACATGGAGAAATGCAGAATATATTAAAATTTAAATTCCCTACAGAAGCTAAGCATATGTTACTAGGTATATTGCCTAATAATCTGCCAAAAAAAATGGAAGAGATATTCAAATACATGGTGACAGCAGCTGGAATTACCTACACAGCAAAATGGAAAGTAGACATTTGTCCATGCTTAGAAGAATGGGAAAATAAACTTGCCCAATATGCAGTGATGACGAAATTAACAATTTATTTGAGAAACAGATCAAGTACAAAATCTGAGGAGAGATGGTGTGTGTATTATGCAAGTAGGAGTCAAATTTAGAATGAGAAGTAGTCTGAAATATTGTATCCAATTGTATTGCAATGAAGAAGCAGAATGAAAATCAGTTCTAAATGTAATATGTAATATGAGCCCCCATTGCAGGGAGGGTGGGGTATAAATGAGATTAATAAATAATAAATATGTTGAATATAAATGTGTGTAAGGGTTTTTTGAAGAGAAACATTTTTATTTTCTACTATAAGATATACAATCGTCCTCCTGTATTTTAGTTATATTACCTATTTGCCAAAAGTAATAGCAAGTATGCAGCCACAGTGAAATTAAGAATTCAGTTGAAAAATAGATTAGTCATGAAATTCAAAATGTAAAACGTTGAATATAAATGTATCCCAACAGAAATAAGTTTTATAGTATTTTGTAAACAGTGACCCCAAAACCTTTCAATGAAATGAAGGGGGTAATAGGGAGAAATATTTTCTATTTTATATATTTTGTCATATATGTTTAACTTTTGATATATATGCAATTAGGATATATAATCATTACTTTTCTGTATTTTTAATCTCTTTGTTTTCTAAAAATAAAAAAAATGGTTGAAGCTATTGTTTCAACATATTTTTTCCCATCTAGGTCTGAACTAGGAATGGATAGAACCTCTCAGTTGTTTTGGCAGGCCTTGGAATCATTCATTCTGATCCACACATACACACACCCCAATCTAAACTGGATCAGGAATCTGGATCAATCCTAGTGCTCTTTTGTAATAAAGGTGGCGGGTGATTTGCCATGGATCTTGGGATGCATGCCACAAGACATCTACGAGTTATAACTTGTACAGGCTCTGTGTAGCCCATGGAAAGTTACTTGCGGGGGGAGTGCACCTCTAGCAGCTGCCATGGACACTGGCATTTGCTGTGCTGCCCCAAAACATTTTGGTTCTTGAATTCCTGCAGCAAAGTCTTGGACTCTTTGTTTACTACTGAGCCAAGACTTTTTAAGGGAACCCTGAACTCATGAACAATCATGCCTAGGTTCATTGGACTCTATGGCACCATGAATATAGTTTTGCATGTTATCTTTTTTATGAAGGTTTTTTTTGGGGGGGACTCATTTATTTGGGGGGACTCATTTTGGGGGGACTCATTTATACATATGCATGTATGTATATCGGGCATCCCTCCTTCTTCCTTCCCACCTGGTCCATGGATGTAAGAAGCACTACTTGTTCCTGTCATCCATCACAGCCAGCATAAAGAAAGTCATCTCCATGACAACATCTGTGAAGCATTGTAGAGCACCCTGCTTGTGGAAGAAGGCTCAGCCACCCTCAAAAGTGTGAGCGAGGTTGACTGGCTGTGTCAATCTCCCTTGATGGGGGGGGGATACCTGTAAGCCCCCTGTCTTCTCCTCAGTTGAGACACCTCAATTGGATCCCTAGTCTCCTCTTAGTTGTTTTGAGGGGCCCCATGAAAGCCTAAGTGCAACAGGGATCCCTGGGATAAATTTTCAGAGAGTGCATCTGGTCTGCCATGTCCAGAACACATTCACACCCCAGCTTCCAGGCGTGCATAATCCCAGCTTCAAGGGGCACTTCATCAATGCAATATGAACCATTTCCAGTTAATTGGCAATGCAGACGTATCACCTCCGATCCATCAAAGCAGCCTAACATCTGATCAACTCCAGATGGGTGATCTTTGTTGCTATGCTAAAAATTCCCCATCTCGGAATGTTAGGTGTCACTTCCTAACCTTCCTGTTCTTGGACCAGTCCTGACCCTGGGAAAGTAGGGTCCCATGCTAAGCTATGGAATATTCCCCCATAAAAGGAGTAGCCCAGGTTGGTGAAAAGTGTGCCAGGTCCTCCCACTCCCTGGATGCCCCTGCAACAGCTTTGCAAGCCGGTCTTTTTCTCCTTGATACTCTTCCACTCACACACATTGGGTCAGGTTAGGGTTGCCAGCTCCAGGTGGGGAAATACCTGGATATTTTTGGGGTGGAGACTGAGGAGGGTGGGGTTTGGGAAGGGGAGGGATTTCAATGGGGTATAATGCCATAGAGTCCACCTTCCAGAGCAATCATTTTCTCCAGGTGAACTGATCTCTGTTACCTGGAGATCAGTTGTAATGGCAGGAGATCTCTGGCCACCACCTGGAGGTTGGCAACTCTAGGTCAGGTAGTATAACCTTTTGGAACCTCTTTTCCTCCCTATCCTTCTCTTTTCCCTTATCCTCATCCCATTCTCAGTTTTGTGTGTACGTGTTTATTGGGAGGGTGGTTTCATTCTTGGTTTTACTTATGTTGTTGTATTCATGGTGTTAAAAGTTTGAAATTTTGGTCTGCCTCTGGTTGTGTGTCTGAGTGCTCGTAAATAAATATTTCATTTAGTTTGAATCGATTGGTCTCTGTTACTCTTGTGAGTCTTGCACAGGAATAAAGCCTCCAAATACATTGACAAAAATCCTTTGTTTATGTGGCTGGAGACCCTATATTTCCCCCTGTGGGTCCAGTTTGGCTAATGCCAGTTGCCTCAACTTGCTTTTGATTTGAACAGATCAGCCAGTGGACTGAAATGGTTTTCACCCTCGCAGAAAGCATGGACATAAACGGGTGACCTTTCTTTGTCTTAGGAAGACTATTTCTATGGAATACATTCTTCCTACTATTCCACCATGTTTATGTGGTCATTGGCTCACTGCATCTACCAACTTCCATAAGTTTGGGTTGGTAGCTTCCAGTTTAAATTTAAAATGGTGTTGGTTGGGTAATGTGATTAACTTCTTATGAGCATTAAAATTAGGGTTGCCAGGTCCCCTGGGGGGGCAGGGAACCTCCCCACTCAATGGGTCCATTCCCCACCAGCCCAGATCGGGCCACCGGGGGGAACCCCACCCCCAAAGTGCCGGGAGCACGGAGACATGCCTGGAGTGATGACGTCACCCAAAAGTGACATCATCGCATCGGGCACGTTGTGGGGGGACGCTCTATCATTCAAGGGAAGACTATGTTTCCCCCTCAAATGATAGTGGCCCGGCCACAATGTGCCCGACGTGATAACGTCACTTCCGAGTGACATCATTGTGGCGCACGCACACCGAAGAACTCCCGGGGAGGGCCAGGACTCCTTCCGCTCCAGGTAAAATACGACTTCGCAACCCTAATTAAAATGGTGACTTACAGAAATAGTGGTTAAAACTATTAGGGGCTGTAAATGCCTCAGAATGTGATGCTCTCTATTTCATTGTTAGTCATGTATAATAGTAAAAAGCCCAGTAGCACCTTTAAAACTAACAAACTTTATTGTAGCATAAGCTTTTGATCAGATGCTGTGTCCTGAAAGTTTATGCTACAATAAAGTTTGTTAGTTTTAAAGGTGCTACTGGGCTTTTTACTATTTTGCAGCAACAGACTAACACAGCTAACTCCTCTGGATCAAGGATAGTAACTGTTCTGGCAAATCTGTCATTCCAGGTGGCAGGGCTGTTTAAATCTAGCTGAATCCAAGTTTCCATTGTACTTCAGCAGTAGGTTACGGAGCAATTCTGGAAAGGTTCAGTTCTAAACAATGAGCATTTGGGTCCTTCATACTCACTTTCAACTCTTTCAACTTTGTAAACAGGTACACCCTTGCAGAGTTTCTCGATAGAGCTGCCAAAGACAAGCCACTCCTTGATTTCTCCAAAGAAAGAATCGCTGGGTACATATTTCATCCACATATTTTTTGGGGAGAACATCTTGTTCATCATCTGAAAGAAGAACATGTTATAAAGGAAAATTATGAGGAATATTTCTGGTGGCTCCGGACCCATAGAAACTTTTCTTCTCCCAAAATGGGATGGTGGTAGAGATCCTGAATAGTTTTCCTTGCATGTACTCTTCATACGTTTTATACTCCTAATAACCCAGAATACAGACATCAGGTTTATTGGGCTGCAGCCAGATAAGATAGGAATTCACTGGTTCCTGAATATTATTTTTAATCACCCCCAAAGAAATGGTTGTCATATTGTATCTCATGCAACGTACTGTCTGAGTCTACTTCCAATATTCTCACAGTGGGCAATGCTTGAAGGAGGAAGGGGTTTGATTTGGGTTCAGGCTCAGATAACATTCAAATACTTGGGGACACACTACCCCCCTAACAGCAGCGCCCACAGTCCTGACTGTGGGGCCTCTGGACAACCTAATGAATCTTCAGCCCCTTCCCAGGGATCCAAGGTCCTCACATCAGTGCCACCTGTTGATGCTGCGTCTATGTGCACGGTAAAGTTCTGTTGTGTGGCAGCAAATTTGGATCCGAGATCCAGTCCTGACTTCGGAAGGTACTGCCCTCAGTTGCAGCTAAAGCCTGAGTAACTATTGCTATCCTTTTCTGGCTCCTATGGCTGCTAATAATCCATCTGTATCAGTCTAGTATCCAGACATGGTTTGCTTGGCACCATCACAGGACATACCTACATCACAAATGACAACAAGGAAGCTGGAAACTGTAATGCTGTGATGGAAGGGTATAGAAATCCAGCAGACTTCACAGCACTTTTGAAAAACTACATTTCCCAGAATTTTTTAGAGGAAGCCATAAGTTACTGGTCTAAAACTAAAATCTGCATGGAATATGGATATGCCCATATAGGTTGTTCTACACACACACACGGTTACCTGTTTCTCGTAAGCAAGCCGTCCAATCAATTCCAGCTCTGGAACGTAGCCTTTTTCCATCTTGTACACAAAGCAGGCTCGACGAGAAAACAATCTTGTTGCAATGTATCCCTGTCATTTACAAAAGCAGGAAATAACTGAGCAGGGATAGACAATGGTGAGATCTGAAAATCTATACATGGTCAGGCTCCTTACCCTGCCATTGCTTGCCAAGGCAGGAGTCAACATGGGGTTTAGCGGCATTAAGGCTTAACTAATGCTGGGAAGATAAAACTGGATGGCAAAGAAAGTTCAAAACCAAGGCCAGTTTTGGAAGAAATGTTTATGCCTTTTGAATTTTATATAACTAACTGGTTCTAGTCAAACACTCACTTATAAACACTATTTCTTGTACAAAAAAGCATCTCCTGCCCACATACGAACCCAATGAATACTGTTTATGGGTAATGCTAAAATCAGATTAATATATAATCTTGAGACTGGAGAATTAGGTTTTCTTGTAATGTGCATTTAACAGATAAATGGTTCCATCTGGGTATGATTCACAATGGCTCCAAAGAGTCTGCACAAATGGAGATAGTTGTAAAGAGAGGAAGATCCTTAGTTAACTTACATGTCCGTAGTCAAAAATCGTATCGGAAGAATCCACCGTACACATGGATATTGGCTATTTGATTCTCATTATCAATTGTTACTGTTTGCTGGGTATAATCGCCAGTGTTGCCGGGGAGCCTGTAGACCTGAGAATAAAAGAAGCATAAACTATTTTGTTTTCAATGCTTCTCCCTAGAAATTGAGAACAAGGAAAGTGTGTTTCCTGTTGCAATTGCACAGCACAGCTAAGCCGTGACAGTCCCATTAGATTTAGTAGGACTGTGTCTTAGTATTAAGGCTGTGTGTCGACTCTGAAAGAAGATCTAGAGATAAAAGAGGACATAACCTCTATCCTAAATGCCTCTCCGTAGTGGCAGGGACTACTAAGGAATGTCTCTTGAGTCCAAGAAGGTTGGAGCATGTAAAGAGGCACAGCAGATTCAGAGAAACATGAGAAACCGTAACAAGTGCAAATTGTTATCCTGGGTTTCCCAAGCTTCAAAGATGCATACTTTCTTTGTACATTTAAAGCTTTGGAGGCACATTTCATTCTTATACTTAAGAAGAGCATGCAGGAATTACCCATCCTCACAGGAGCCACTCTTATACTTCTTACTACCACTTACACTTCTGTCTGCTGTAGATCTGAGATTTCCTATTCAGAAAAAGGCAAGCCCAGAACAGTGGCTCATACAGGAAATGTCATCTACGGCAGGTACTTCTGCTGAATTTCTGCACAGGAAGCAACTGAATGAACCAAGCCCACCCGAAGCAGATACACAGCAAAATTATCTGCAACCTCCCAATAGTGGTTGATTGGAAAAAGAATGGCAAGAGCAATTTCATCATGCAGAGACATAGCAGGCAATTTTCTTTGGGCTAATAGGAGCTTTCATAAGTATGCCCCGGTGCAGAGTCTGGAAATTTCTGTTTTAATCGAATGTGGAAGTGCAGTCTTGTTCTTTGTTTTGGTGGTGCAGTGGAGACAACCTGTTGGCTTTCTTGGACCTTGTGCCCTCCCTCTTACTTGTCTACCTATTGCCCACTTTTTCCCCCTTGGATATACAAAATGGAACCTAAAACTTTGTAATTTGCTTACCTGGAAAGATGCAAAAGCTTGACACCAGAAGACTCCCAGAACAGCGATTAGTATTAGCTGGAAAAGAAGGGAAATGTCAGCATTATTATTCCAATAGAAATTGGGCCACAATCAACTTTCTTTTCTTTTTTTAATGGAGCCTTTCTAAATTTATGCTGCACCCTGAATCCACTGAGCCTAGGGTTACCAGCTAGGGTTGCTAGCCTCCCGGTGTAACCTGGAGTCCCCCTGGAATTACAACAGATCTTTAGACTAGAGAGGACAGTTCCTCTGGAGGAAATGGCAGTTTCAGAGGATCGGCTCTCTGGCATCACACCCCTGCTGAGCTCCCTCCCAAGGCAACACTCCAAAATCTCCAGGAGTTTCCCAAGCCAGAGTTGGCAAACAAGTGAACCAACACCAGTCTCCTGTTCTGCTAGTGAATAAACAGAGCTCCTTGCAAGCCATTGTGTGCATATAGCTTGTTGCTCTCTCAAGAGATCTGAGGCCAGAACGCTGGCAGGGGCATATTGGCCCTTTAATTTACCAGGCAAGTTTCTAGTGGGCCACTGCCCTGGAAAATTGGTAGCAGTCAACCAAGCCAAGCGCTAGTGACACGATTGGAACCCACATGGGCCCTTCAGCTTTGACTTGGCCAACAGCAATATCAACCAAGAAGGGCATCAAAGATGTGTATTGCACATATTTAACTGGGTTTAGGTTGGGTTGGTACTCAAGAATTTAGACTAGGCATTGCTGGCATTTTTTAAAAAGCTGTATGCCAAATAGTTATGCCTTTTCTCTCTTGTCTTCCTACCTGCTGCAAATTTTACAATGTGAATTATTAAATGAATTAGTTGCATTACTACATTCATCTGGAAATTAACGCCCCCCCCCCATAATGTATAGATTTCAAAATGAATAGGCCCTATCACAAAGTGGCAAAGCCAGGTGGTCAATATGGGGTGCCAGCAATAGCAGAGAAGTGGGAAGCTGACAGGTTCTGACCCACTGGTTATAGCCCATCAGCCTCTTCTCTTGTGCACGCCCCACTGAAACAAACAGGAGATGGCCCAGAACATTTCTGTGCCTGCGTGCAGCTGCTGTTGACTTCAGTGAGGTTTGTGCAAGAGAATTTGCTGGTTAGCTGTGTTCTATGTCAACAGAGGGGATTTTATGTCTCAGGAACCAAACTGTTTGGGCCTGGTCTCATATCAAGATCACAGAATATGTTCCTGCTGTTACTTAACTGTCCTCAAAAATGCATGCTGCAGTTACAGAAATAAGTTCAGGCAAAAACCAGCCTAATACTCCCCCTGGTGAGAAGATCCCCCAGTGAATCTAATGGCGTGTATATTTTGGCAAGGAAAACTGGCTTCTGTCCTCTTATTATACTACCTAATGAACGATGGCATATGATTTATCTCAAAGAGTTCTCCCTCTTACAGAGACAAGTATATCTAAATACATTCAATTTTCTGTTAAAAGAAAGGAATGTGTCAAATATACTCACAAGCCTGGTCATTTTTCCTCAGATAAGAGCAAGAGGCTAATAAGGAGCAAATGGAATAAAATTACGGAGACTTCGGATTTTTATATCTTGCCAGTAGGTGTGGAAAACACTTCCCAGAAATGTGCCTCGTGAACTCAGCGATTCCATATCTGTGGGACACGCCACAGTAAACGGCTTTATCTGAATTTTAGCCTGTGCACATAGCCAGTCCCTGATACCTCCAGAACTCATTAGCAAGCCATGACAAATTCCAAACTGGTCATTTTGCAAATATTAGTTAACTCTTTTGGGTTACTTGAATGTCCTTTGTGGTAGCAGGAACACCAGTGTCATTTTTTTTAAACTGGCCTTTTTGTAGCAGCAAGGATGACAGCTGCCCTTGGAGAAAGGAAGGCCATCCAGCCCAGCCTGTAGGGCAGAAATAGGACAACTATGGCTTGAGGGCTTGGGGCCATATCCAGCTCTCAAGCTGTTTAACAATTTGTCTGGGGCATCAGTGAGAGGACCGATCTTGAACAACAGTTCAGGAGCCATGAGGAGTAGCAGAGTGGCTGAGAGAGCTACTTTTGTGTCTCTGGTCACTTCTGATGTCTCCAAATTGGACTCTGCCATGTCAGCAGAGTCAGCAGGAGCTGCAGGGGCTCAAGTGGTTAAGATGCTGAACTGCAGGCTGTGGAAGGTCGGTAGTTCAGCAGTTCGAGACCCGAGTGTGCCGCATGACGGAGTGAGCTTCCGTCTCTAGTTCCAGCTCTTGCCAACCTAGCAGTTCGAAAGCAAGAAATTGCAAGTAGATAAATAGGTACCAGCGTTCCGTGCACCTTGGTGTTTAGTCATGCTGGGCACATGACCATGGAAACGTCTTCGGACAGCGCTAGCTCTTCGGCTTTGAAACGGAGATGAGCACTGCAACCCTAGAGTCGGACTTGACTGGCTTTCGAGCAAGGGAACCTTTACCTTTACCTTTATGTCAGCAGCAGCCAGTGCTGGAAGAATCAGCATCCAACTTAAATCCCTCAAAATTAGGCCGTCAGGCGGGCCCAAACCCTTTGGTGTTGAGGGGCAAAAGGACGGTGGCTTTGGCCACAATCCACAATGGACCTTTTAAACAATTGATTTGCTTTTAGAAAGTATTCTCCTCATGCAGTCTTGAAGATTAACCAGAGGTAATAGTATACCATGGCATTTATAAAGTGGTTTTGGAGTGTTCTAAGCCTTTGCGCACATAGTATTGTTGTAGGTCTCACAAGTGCCCTGTATGGCGGGTCAGGATTAGCACCCCATGTTATAGGAGGGGCTTCCCAAGGATGGCCTCATGAATTCATGGTGGAGGCAAGATTTTAACCTAATGTGTAGTTCAGTGGTATGTGCTAAACTAATTACATAATGAATGGAGGCTAGGGAAAGGGGGACCAGTCTTACTTGCCTCTGGGGTCATTGTTATTAAACTGCACAAGAATGTGTGTTTAACGTTTTCAGGGTCTCCCTCTCCCCTTCACACAGGATACAGGTGAGCCAAAGTCACTAGTGCTGAATTTTTGTAGATTGCCAGTGTGTTCCATTCACAATTTTTTTTTAAAAAAAATTCTTCCTGCAAGATTGGAGGGCGATGGAGTGTTCATACAATTGAATGGGTTGGCAGATTTTTTTTTTTTAATTGGCTGCTTGGTTTGTTGTTCAGATGGCAACATTTTGTTTTATTGTTTTCCTCAAATGATCCCAGGGTTTGATTTCCAGCTGTTACAAAAGCCATATTTTCATGGGATCCATGTCCTACACTCCATTTGTGGCTTTCCTGAGCCTTTGATGAGGAAAGTGGTTTGATTGCTGGCCTCTGGGTGGAGCTAGGAAGTTTGCATTGTTCTGTTCTGTAACTTGCTATGAAAAGTTTGAGTCGGTTTTAACTATTGGAACAGTCCTATCAGGACCAAGTGGGAGCTTAACAGTGCAACCCTAAACAGAATTAGACCCTTCAAACATCAGTTGAAGTCAATGGGATTAGAAGGATGTAACTCTGCTTAGAATTGTAATGTAAAAGTCCTCAGTTTCTGAGCATTTGTCTGTGGCATCCTCCATCCTGCACCATCTAGTCTGATGAATGCTCCACAATGACGCATGACTTTGTAGTTGTGATAATATTTTCAAGGAAGACAACTCCAATGGTACCAAAAACAAGCATTACAGGAAGGGGAATTACGAGCTTTGCAGCATCACCACTACTCATGTTATGGGAGGTGTTACCAACCTCTGCAGCAGGGGTCATTTCCTGCAGGAGCACACAGGAGCGGAGCTCCGGCAGTAAAGAGCCCAGGGGGCGGGCACATGCAACAAGCCCCACCCCCTGCTCCCAGCAGCCTTCAGTCAGAGCAAGAAGCAGCCAGATAAGTTGCAGAGCCCTCCCCCCCGGCCCCCAGACCAAAACCGTCCAGTGGCACCTGAGCAATGGGTCAGGGGGTGTGGCATATGCAAATAAGTTATGCTAATGAGTTATGCTAATGAGCTCCTGCACCTCTTTTTCTACAAAATGACCCCTGCTCTGCAGTAAGGATTCACAATGGACTTGAAACTTAGAGTTTCCAGCTCTAGTTTGGGGAATACCTGGAGATCTTGGGGGTGGAGCCAGGAGAGAGCAGGGTTTGGGAGGGGAAGAACCTCAATGGGGGATAATGCCATTCAGTCCTCCCACCAAAGCAGCCATTTTCCCCAGGTGAACTGATCTCTGTCACCTGGAGATCACTTGTAATAGCTGGACATTTCCAGCCACCACCTGGAGGTTGGCAACCCTATTGAAACCACATGCCACATAACCTTTCAAAACTGCATGCCATAAATTTCTGCTCGCCCTGTAGATATTGAAATAGCCAGCTGGGGTAGAGCAATCTATCTCTTTGTAAAATTTGCCCCAAGTAGATGGTATCGATATGTGGCAGAAAAGGGTCCAAGCAAAGCTCTACAGCAGAAATGGTTAATTTTGCCTCCATAAAAGTAAGGGGAGTGTCATTAAAAATGCAAAATCTGGAAGGTCTCAATCAGAACTGTTTCTGTGACTCTGTATAAAGTACACACCTTTGAAAGCTCACCCTTTTCCTTACTTACAGATGCTAATAGAAACAGCTCCTGCCTTTAACAAACATTTTTGTCCACACCTACATCAGCTAATCTATTAATTTAAAGGGAGGAGAAGGGAAGGCAGGGAGCTTTGTGGTCCCGTCCTAACAGTGTTTACTTGCATAGTTTAAATTGAATCTAGGGCCTCAAATGCCTTGATATCCCTTTCTATCAGGGCCATATTTTGAATTAAACTGAAAGATCAAAGAACAGGCTCTTTAACCCCTTCTGTCCTAATGCAAACAGCAACAGGGGCTTTAGATTCATGGGGGGAACACTGTCAGCTGATGGTGTATAAAGTACTGAGACTTTGAGGTGTCCCGGAGCGACAGCCATGACTCTCGATTGAAGCGGGGAGCGGTGTCCTGGGGAGCGGTGCGTTTTGCGGTGCTGCTCGTGAGCAATGCAGGGTGCAGTGGCTTCCAGTGGATCAGTGCTCGGTGCTGTGCTGGAGGAAGAGTCAGGCTCACTCATAGGGATCCCACCTTCATTGACAGTATAAAGTACTGAGACTGATGTATGGAGGAGTGATTTCAGCTCATACTTTATTGTATACAGGAGAACTTGAGATGATGTAGCCGGGCCGGAGGCCGGCTTATATCCCCGTAGTAAACCACACCCAACACACACACACACACCAGTGATAGGATATTTACAGTGCACCCAAATCCCATAGATCCATTCTCAGATCCTAGCCGTCCAATAGGCACAGGCTAAGATCTGTTCGGGCTATTGTCTCTGGAAGCAAAGCTTGGGCCATTCGCATGGCCACGTGCGGAACCGACCGTGTGCGCAGTTTCTCCAGGTACACAACATGGTGTTACAACACTTCTGGGGAAAACCTGAAAGTGACAACAGTCTGCTGTAGGAGCCACTGGAGCCACTTGTACTCTATGGTACAAGTTTCCAGCAATTCCTAGAGCAGCAGTTTTTAAAAACTCCCCCCCCAGCAGCCATCAGAGTGCAGATGGGAAATGGGAATTGGGAGAAGGGAATTCCCCACCCCCTGACAGGAACTACTTGGACACCACATGACATATGGGGACCTCTTTTCATATTTGTTGAGTGATGACACGAGGACTTTGAATCACGTTTAATGGGTGTTTTGTATGCCCTTTTCTTCTCGCGACCAAGGATGTGAGGGGAGAAGCATTGGCCACCTTCTCCTCTGCATTGTTTTCTCCTCCTTAAAATATCTTGTGGACCCGCGATTGGCTCTGTTGCTGTACATAAATTTTGCAGTAGAGCCAAAAGCAGCTCTACAGGATAGTTTAAGAACAGAAAACAGTGTGGAGGAGAAGGCTGAATCTTACAATTATCCACTCCCATATGTGACTGAGGAGCTGTTGAGGATAAGGAGAGGATGCTAACAGGGCCCCACTCTTCTTTCAGTCAGTTTAAGGTTGCCATTACCAGCCTCAGGTAGGGCCTGGTTATCTCGCAGAATTACTACTGGCTTGCAGAGATCAGTTCCCCTGGAGATTTTGGAGGGTGGACCATATGGCATTATATCCCACAGAATTTCCTCCCCTCCCCAAACCCCAGCCTCCTCAGTCTTCACCTCCGTATATTCAGGAATTCCCAAACTCAGATATGGCAACCATATATTTATATCTCAGTTGGGGAGAAAGTGACTGAGATACATAATAACATGTACATAATAACTTGTGGAGGGTCCTTGACAGGGCTGTTTTTGGGCAGGAACACACAGGAACGGAGTTCCTGTCAAAGGGCTGGCTTGCCCGGGCTCCCCGCAGCCACAGGGTGCCCGGGCAAGCCAAGGGAAGGCATGGGGATGTGGCCTAATATGCTAATGGGTTTCTGCTGTTGGGTGTGGCCTATTATGCTAATGAGTTCCTGCTGGGCTTTTTCTACAAAAAAAGCCCTCGTTCTTGAGATCAGATGCAGTGCTAGAGACCAAGTGGAAGGCCTTTGGGCTCTGGACCTCCACTTGCCTTAAGTGGGAGCCACATGGCCAGTGTGGGCCTGGGTTTCCTTGTGTCAGATGGCAGGTAAATGCTAGCTTAATTCACAGAACGTTCCTCCAAGCAAACATTCTTTGCACATTGAAAACCAGCATGTTCTCCTGGAACCCTTCTGCCTGATTTCTATGCCAAGCTAACATCCCGTTCACACGCGGCGATTTGGTCCGGGAGCGGGCCAGTTCGGGGCCGGATCAAACCGGCGCGATCACACCACCACATCTGGGAAGCGTCCTGCTTCCGCACCCGAACTGGCCCAAACCCGGGAAGAACCGCCGCAAAATGAACCACCTACCTTGGGTGGTTCAAATGGATGCGGCGCGGCAAGCAGGCGTTTGATCGCGCCGCGTCCTTTGCGCCGGCACAACCCCGGGCCGGAGCCGAACTGCGCATGCTCAGACATGCGCAGTTCGGCCGGCCCCCGGTTAGGGCGTGTTTTCTCCCCGGCGTTTGATCGTGCCGGGGAGAAAAGGCGGCGCAGCCAGGGGATCCGTGTGATCCCGCCGCGCCGTGTCAACGTTGGCGCAGCTTTTAAAAGCCGCGCCTTCAAGCACCTTTTCCCCTGCCGTGTGGCAGGGGCCAAAGGCTCTTGTGTGGACGGGATTATGTGAGTCTCCCACCTGTGCCTGAATTGATCCAGCCCAGAGATGAATTGCCTCAGTGAGAAGCCAGAAAAGCAGTCAAAACCAATCATTTGAGAGGCTTAGGGATTCAGTATTAAAAGATTGCCAGCTGCCCTTTAAAGGTTCTGCTTGGGGCTTTGGGGGGCACATTCTTATGAGTGCGTCCTGCTAGAATAAAATGTAAATATCTGCAACCACATGAGCAGAGCCAACTAGGGTTGCCATGTTCCCGATGGGGGCAGGGGATCCCCTGATTTTGCAGGCTCCTGCCTGCCATCGGCCAGCTGGCTGGTGGGAGGGAATCCCCCCCCAACGGCGACATCACACATGACATGGCTGCATCACCCGGAAGTGACGTCAGCATGTCAAAGACATCAGGAGGTGACGCTCTGGATTTTGGGCAAAACTCTATGGTCTGATGCCGATTTTACCATAGAGTTTTGCCCCAAATACAGACTGTTGCCCCCGACATTGCCTACGTGCCAATGTAACTTCTGGGTGATGCAGGCACATTGTGTGCAATGTCACTGTTTCAGGGGGAATGGGGAGAGATGTTACTTCCCACTTTTGGCATGCCCCCCATCCCCCACACCAGCGGGCAAAAGGGACCTTGCAACCTTAGAGCCAACTGAGTGACACTTTCTGACAGGAGAGGCTTTAGAATCCGTGGACAAGGCACCAGTTCCACAGAAAAACTCACAAAGTTGGCCCAGCACATATAGTTGTGGGACTTTCATCAGTGTCATGATGCTTTAAGAAACAAGCCAAAGACAGTTGCCACCCCCAAAGATCTTAGGCCTGACTTAAACATGATACGGACTGGTAGAACTTCGCTGTACAGCTTTGCTTGTGTCTAGCATCTTGTTTAAACTGGGCCACTAGATCTGCAAAGTGGCTAATGTATGCATTGTAAGTATAGCAGCACAGGATTGCCAACTCTGTGTTGGGAAATTCCTGGAGATTTGGGGGTGGAGTCTGGGGAGGGCAGAGTTTAGGTAGAGGAGGGGCCTCCACAGGATATAACACCACACAATCCACCTTCCAAAGCAGCTATTTTCTCCTGGGGAACTGGTCTCTGTTGCCTGGAGGCTGGCAATCCTAATACCGACACCTGGCCAGAGCTCTGGCATAAGTCATGCCTCACTGCCACTGGCAGAGCTGGATCTCCAGCCAAGCTACCCAAGTGATTTCTTGGGGAGGCATGGTGAGGTGGGCACTGATGTATTGCAGGAGCTTGGCTCATTACCAGCCCTCAGTGACACAGGAGGCGACTGGCCTCATCTCTTAGGTCTGCACCTCCTGGGTCCTAGCCAAGATGCCCAGGGTCCTGGCTTGGAATTGGGCAGCAGCAGCACAGGACCAGGAGTTAAAGGGGAGAAAGCCCTTGATTTTCATCCACCCAATGCCTATATATCATCCCCACTCAATGCAATCCAAGCATACAAATCTAATTTTGCCAGAACTTCTGACATGTGCACCAATTTTACTGTATGGGGCTTTGTTTGTTTTATGGGATTAAACTCTGTCTAGATTAAGTACACTTTTTAAAATAAAAAGGACACATCCCACCAGTTTGTTTTGTGTAACCAAATGTTATTGATTATACCATTTCCAGGTTATCTTTTATCTATCACGTATAATTTATCTGGAGGGTGTCACCCAAGAAAGGCTGTGCTAGCTGTAATTCCAGAGAGATAAGGTGCCATATCTCAACGACCTGTCCACACCTAACTTTTGGAGAGCCACGTATATAAAGTGTAGGGCTGAACTCTGACTGGTCCCACATCTCTTCTAGCAACAAAATGAAGCTGATTGTGAGTATACTTTCTTTTTAATCTTTTTTAAATCCCCGGAACATTTGGACTATAGCCATTTTTTAAAGTTTTCAAGCAGAGGGAACTTTTTAGTTTTTTTTTAAAAAATCTGGAAGCTTCCTTAAAACCCACAGTACTTAGCTCAAGGGAGAGTATTTTTAGACTCGCCATTTGATTTTTGGGGCTGGTTTCCCCTTTAACCGCTGGCTGGTTCACTATCTGTGGCAGTCAGTTGGACCCACCTGTGAGGAGACATTAGTTTAAACAGTCACATGGAGATTAAAACCTCTGTGACTGAAGTATGACAATGTATTAACCACTAAATCACAGTGCTGTATGGTGACTATGCCCCATCACAAGTTTACCTGTTCCCCATAACTTCTTTTTGGATTGGGACGTCTGTATTTCCTTTAGCCTCAAAGCAGGTTGCTATCATTTCCAATGTACAGACTGAGGCTGAAAAGACAAGCTGCGTGAGTCCACTCAGTGAATCCAGGGCTCAGTGGAAATCTGAAACACACTTTATTTAAATTGTTTTAAACTAATTGCATTACTATGCCTGCCATAAAGAACCTTGAGAAATGCTGACTTGCAAGGGTGATTGGACTTCTTCATAAAGCCTCTACATAGGACTACATTCCCTCATAACTTCAGCTGGGAGTCATGTTGTACAAATTTCAAACTGGTCTAAATAGGTAGTGCAAGGGCTATATGTTGCCCATTAATCAGATCACATCGCTTCTTGCCTTCTTCCCTGCCATCTACATGTTTGCTTCCTCTGGTTTTAAAATAATGGTTAGAAGACATTCCACTGCATGTATACCCAGTGGAGCGTTGCAACTGGTGTGAGCTCCCTGGTGCATATACAACAAGTGTTGACATTGTGAAACAGATTTGTCCATGGGTATTCTTGAGAGACCATTGATGAACCCAGTAATGGGCTTGAGCAGAATCCTACTGATTTCAGGGGACTAAATTAGTTTGGATTGTGGTCTTTATCGATAAAGTGCAAAGTGACCCATGTACACAACCAACAAATATTTGCATAGAAGCATATAAATTGTTGTATTTTCAAGGAATGCAAATTCCCATTTTGAAACTATATGAGATGAACATTTTAACCATTTTTAGAATGCCAATCCCCTCTTCCCCCTATCCAAAATAATTTCTTGTAGAGTGTATGCTTGGGTCTATTCATCATAAAATATTGAGAATAAGCTTATTTGAACAAGACAATCTATTTAATGCTGCCATTCTTCTGAAATCCATTTCAGATTCTGAGTGCTGCTCTTCTGGGAGTTTTTCTGGCCCCAATCTTGGCCAGTAATGTAAGTACTGTGGCAATTCGTAGTTATTGCTCTCATGCAAGCATTTCACATTGTGCTTTGTTATTCAGTAGAATTTTGATGGTAGAGGTATCCCTGCCGTACAGTCCTAAGCAGAGTTATCTTACAGTCTAATAGTCAATTGTGGCCCAATCTACAGATATTGAAATCCTCAGATTGGGGCCACACTGACTGTAAACAGACAGTTCTGCAAATTTGGGAGGACCCCCAGGTTTATAGAAATATCTGAAAACTTAAAAAAAAATACATTGGTGTAGGTTAACCTCCCCCCCCCCATAAAAGAGGTTTGTCTGCACATGCACAGAAAATGGACTTGCCTTTGTTCTGGAGACTTGCCTTTGTTCTGGTGGCAGTGCCTGGGATCCACTCTGGGCATGGACCCGGGCACAATGGCAGCAAAGTCCAGGAACTGCTCTGGGCCTGGGAGTGGTGATGGCAGAGCCCAGAAGCTGCTCTGGGCCCAGAGGTGACTGTGGAGTCCACCACGTTGGGCTCTTTTACCCTTCTAATTCCATTGAACTCAATAGGCTTAGAACGGTATAACTGTTAGAACTGTATTGTATGACTATTTTTTAAAAACCTCTTTCTTGGGAGATCTGGAACACTGAACTCCTGGTCTTATCTTCTCTCTCTCCCTTTTTCTCTTCTGTTTTCCATTCAAGAATGTCAATGTAAAGAACCAGGGAAATAGAGGGGGAAATTCCCACCAGTCCGTGAGTATTGATGATAAAAAGCAGGTGGTGAATGTTGACAGTAACAATGGATGGCATTCATGGAACAGCGTTTGGGATTATGCCAGCGTAAGTCACCTGTGTGCCCTTTTATTTCTTTATTTCACATATGATTGGGTTGGTCTTGTTTCAAACAGGTACCAAGTATATTTGTACTGATGGCTTCTCTTACACAATTTTAAATTAAGGCTGCCATCCTCAGCACACTTACAAGGAAACCCATTCCTCTGAAAGTAGCTAGACTGTCTTCTGTGCAAACAAATTTGCTTGTGTATTCAACGTATACGGAATGGCAGCAATTCATTCATAATACTAACCTGTTATAACGTTTAGTGTCTATGTAGTGTTCAAAACTTGCATTGCCCCCGTGATCTTTACAAGAGCCCTACAAAGTAGGCAACTATTATTGCCCCCCCTACAGGAGACTAAGAAAACAGCAGCTCACCCAAAGGCTGCCTCACAAGTTCATGCCTGAGGTGAGATTCAGACCAGGAAATCCCCAGCTTCTGCCTTTAGTCGCTATGCTACAAAAGTTCTCAATTCCTTCACTGAAATAACCTTTCTTCAGGGCACAGCAGATTCCCATACATGTCAAAACAGTGTAATCTGATCCCGAGGGAATTCTTTGCCCTGGTTTATTAGGGAGGGGCTAAAGCCCAGTGGTAGGGCTTGTGGGGCTCAATCCCAAAGGTCACGGGTTTCTCAAGTCCCACCACTTTGGTGGTTTTCAGATTACAGAGCTGGAAACAACCTCACTTTATCCTGGTCCCTGGAGAACTGGCCAATCAGAGTACACACTGCAGGGCAAGATGGACCAGTGGTCTAACTGAATCCAAAGTGCTTCTGTGTTCGTTAAGTTAGCCAAGGAAAGTAACAGAAACGATACAGAAAACGAACAATTTATTTCCTACGTTCCTATGCCACTTGAAACATGTGGCTGATTACCCTATCGTTTGAACAGGGCTATGTAGCTACTCGGATATTTTCCAAGAAAGCCTGCATTGTTGCACCTCTGAATAAAGAGATAATGCCAGATGTGACTGTCCTTCCAAAAGCCATCAAGGAAAAGCAGGTATGGTGAAGAGGATGTTTGATGTATGTTTTTCAGTGACAGTGGAGGAGTTTGTTTTGTTTGAGTGTGGCAAAGAGGAACATTCAGTATGGTAGGTTCAAAACAGTCAAAAAGAACATACAAAGTAGTGTTGAGCAGTGGAATTCACTGCAGCAGGATTTTATGTTGATGGCCACTAGCTTATATGGCTTATAAAAAAGAATAGACAAATCCCCATCTTTTGGATGGCTACTAGTCATGATTCCTCATGAAACTTCCATATAGAGGTGAAGTGTATCTCTGAACACCAGATACGAGAGTAATCATTTTCATACCCTTCCAGGGACATCTGACAGATTTAAATTGCAGGCTTTTATGTGAAATATACAGAGATGTAATATTGAATTGACCACTAGAGGGAGCAAAACATGCAGAAAAGAAAAACACAACAGCGACAAAAATGAGGATGCAGAAGAGCCTATGGGCTGCAAAATCCGAATTTTCCCACCTACACAGTAGCCATCCAGGCTTCATTGTGATCATTCCTAAATCTCTGGAGCACACCTGGTTTGAAAAAGATAGAAAAACTGGGGAAATGCACCACAGTGCTCAGCGTGGACAACCCATGCAGAAATTACCCAAGACTTACTTCGGATTACAGTAAAGAACAAAAAAAGGCCTCCCCGACCTGGTTCCATATTTACATCCATTAATCATATCAAATCCAGTCTTTAAATGTTGTGTCACTGTTCTTTTTTCCTTTCCCTACATTTAGAAGACTGGTGTTCAAGCACCAGTAAAGAACAAAAAAGGGCCTCCCTGACCTGGTTCCATATTTACATCCATTAATCATATCAAATCATCCCTACATTTAGAAGACTGGTGCTCAAGCACCTCCAGACAAGCAACTGACTTACACTGTCTCCCGGAATAAAATCACTGACCTGAGCACGTACGGAAAGAATATTGAAAACCTGTGCAGAGGGGTTCCCACTTACCTTGCCCATGAAGTTAAAGGTGAGCATAACTTTTGGGCACCTTTCACAAACCTGCATGTTGTTGAAGAATACAAACAAGAGTCTTTCTTTACTAGGGATGTGCAGTGGTTTTGCCCCGCTGCCCACCTTATGCTTACAATAGTGTAATTCATGAGGAATAGGTCCTGCAAAAGAAAGGGAGGGAGCCACAAGAGTTAAACTGGCATAAAATCAACTTACGTTGCTTAGTGTAGATATACTTGTAAGCGGCAGGACACTAAAATGACATTGCCCTGCTTCTTTCCAAGTGTCAGTCTGACAATGCTACTTTTTCTTTTCTTTTTCAGCACCAAGCTTTGTCTACTATTCTGGATCCTGTTTCAGAGCTAACCTCCTTTGCCTCCTTGGAATCAGCTATTGTGGAGAAACCTTTGAAAACTGATAAGCCTGTAATGGTTCTTATGTGAGAACTTGCTCAAAGTCCAATTGCGCTTAGATAAAAATCTCTTCTGGGTTTTATTCCTTTTTTTGTCCCTTTTATGCCTGAAGCATAGAAAAATGTCAAGTGTATACAGGCCGATTGCCTATTAAATGTGCCTAGAATGATCAAGCCTGTGTTAATTACTGATTCTTCACTTTTATATCCTGTCCTTTCTCCATCTTACCCTTTCAACAGCCCTCTGAGGGGACTTTGGCTGAGAGATGCTGACCACGAATGTGGACAGAAACATCCCATTCCAACCCTGTTCTCTTCTGTTCAAGTACCTCACAGTATACCAGAACAGCACAATTCTCACTCTGTGCGTCTATTGGATGTGTTAATTAATTCAAAAAAGCCACATGCATACATTGGCCTCAGCAAAGCATTTTTATCATGTTTCTCACCTGTTACCTCCCCTCTTTTCACTGTATTTTGGAGTTTTAATGTATACATCTATATGTATGTTTGTTAGCCTCCCTGAGCCCGCCATGGCTGGGAAGGCCAGATATAAATGTAATAAATAAATAAATAAATAACCCCAGATGTCTTTCACAGCACCCATCCTGGCCCTCCTTGCAACATGTAGCTCTTTTTCTCTTGTATTTGTTAATTTTTCATTTTATTTAAGTTATGCTTAGTCCACCTTTCTCACAGAGGCTCAAATTGGATTATGCCGTGTAAGTCAATTACACAGTATAACTCAATCAACAGGATGCCATCCAGTGAACAGTGTGATAGGGCTAGGATTATAGAGATCTGAAACAAGGCATAGAGTATTAGATGTGGTATGTTAAACAATGCAGAAAATGGTATTACATAAGCAGAAAAGAATGGAGCAAGGGAGGATAAAACAGATTATACAAGCAGAAAAGACATACTATATATAGTCCACAGTCCCATTCCCTTTGTTAAAACACCTATATATTATTTCATTCCCATTTGTCACTGTGCCATCTTTATCCCTGTCCCCATCCACCTCTTAGTCTCTTGTCTCTCAGGGTCAAACTGCAGACCCCTGGAAGCAATCGAGGGTAACCGCTTGGTTTGTCCCTTGGTTTTCCCCTCAGTCATTTGTCGTCATCGTCGTTGTTTCTGTCCCCTGCTCTTAATGGCTCCTTACTCATTTTAGTGGCAATGACACACAAGGCTCTCACTCTTCCATATCCGATAAGGTGAGCTTCAAATCAAAAATGCTCATGCCTTGTAAAACTTTGTTGATCTTTGGCCCCGGTCACACGGGCAGGAAAATGCAGGGGAGAAGCGTGGCTGTTTGCCCTGGAGCAAAATAACGTGCTGTTGCACGATCAGACGTCCCATCGAGGTCCCGTGTTTAGGGGGGAGGTGCCGATCACACGACCATCCTGCAGCACGGCAAAGAAGCGGTGCGGCATGATCACACCAGCAATTGCTAGGCGCTGCTTCTGTGGCAAACGGGATGGATTTTTTAAAAAAACTGACGTTTGTGCATACGCATGACTGAGCGATCATATCTGCACATCCGAAGACGGGTGGTGGGCTTACCAGAGAGGGCGACAGACACTTCCGGACCCAAGCAGAGTTCCGAGGCATAGCCAATGGAGGGGGAGGTGGGCCCCCTCATCACAGCCGCTCCAACCGCCTGCGCGACAGTGCCCATAGCGACCCTCCAGAGGCGGCAAGCCTGGCTGCAGTGGGAGGGGGCCTTTTTGTGCGCATGCACCATTGGGCGCTTGTGCGCATCCTGTGGAGACTTGGAAAAAAAAACCTGTTCGCGACGGGACATGGGCGGCGCCGGATGCCAGGGGATTCCACCGGAAACGCGATCAGTCGTCCGCCCTTATCCCGTGGTTTCCGGAAACTAGTACCTTGGAGGTACTAGTTTTTTGCCCCACATCTTCAGTGGGAAGCCTCGGGTTTGGCACGGAAGCTCTACGCTTCCCAGATGTGGCGGTGTGATCGCGCCCAGAAAATCCACCTATCTTCTGTCTCTGTAGCATGGCTAATGTTCCGTGTGACCGCAGCCTTTGTTGGGCTATTTGTTCTACTACTACAGACTGACATGGCTACCCACCCGAAACACTCTTCCAGGAGTCACACATTAAGAGAGTCTTAAATGAATTAGGGACTCGTGGTTTGACTTCCTGGGTGCGATAGCTGGAAAAAGGGGTGCCACCACTTGTCCCTGTATCAAGAGTGAAGAGAAGCAAGCTTCTCCCATCCTCATCTCCACTCAAGACTGGTGTCAGATTTGGTGGGCAGTTAGAGCAACTAAGGCTCCTGGTACAGCAGGAGACCTTCCAGCAGCAGCCCTCGAGGCCTGCTGAAAAAACTGGGCAACAAACATTGTCATTCTGAAGACATCACTCCCAGGGTGAACATGGAAGTGATGTCAAATGCTCTGTAGGAACTACAACTGCCACAGGCTTGCCTTATGCCTGTATCTGTACTGCAAGAATACAGTGCCTGGAAAGGGGCTTGCTAGATAGCCCCTTACTAAAGACCCTCCCCCAACCTGTAGCCATCACAGTCCCCACTGCTACGGGTTCTCCTGGGGGACTGCAAATACTCAGTAGGCCACAAAGAATTCCCTTGCAAATAAGAGGGGGGCTGCAAGGTGCCTGAAGGCTGTCTATTAGTGCAGTTCTGTGCTGATTTTCTCACAAAAGGGACCCAAAGTTGCTTTCAGAAATTTCCAGAACAACCAATTTAAACAATGTAATTTAAATAAAAAAGAAAATAAGCACATCTTGGGAAAGCCCTTATTTATTGAACTGGCCCAAGCTGTAAGCCCTAAACCATGGGCTAAGATCCAAGTGCCCAAGGGTTCATGCCTCTGGCCATCCCAGACTTCAGTACCTGCAATGAGAGGAAAAACAAAGGCCTATTATGCACACGCAGCTTACTGCAGATTTTCTGAGCAGTAAGCCTTTAAGCTTGGCTTCGGATTCTGTGCCTGCCTTACACATCATTCTTTTTCCTCCTGCGTATTTATTTTGCAGCTACAATTTTAAAAACGCACTTTTCTAAATCAAGATGGAACATCATTTGTGACGTACAGGGGGTGGAGTCCAAAGCTTTTTTAAAAAAAATATATGCAATTGCCCTATTGCAGCTGCACAGTAACGTCCAGCAGGCACCTTCTATTTAAACCCTCGTGGTTCAAGTTTTGCACATGCATTATAGCATTAGTATAATTAGTATAATTAGTATAATTAGTATAATATAGCGAGCAGACTTTTTCTGAAATTGACAAGCAGCTGCAAAACTCCTTTTTCCATATTACTGAGCACTAAGGGATTCTCTGCTGTGTTGTTGACTACTGTGATCCCTCCAGTTACATCCCTGAACCAAGACTCTATAGGGAAAAATGCTACAGGCATGGGGGAAGCATAAACCAACACAGCACAACCGTAGCCTGGGGCTACTTGCATATTTTCCCCAGACTGAAAGTGGGGTGATAGTGTTATGCTGTCCCAAGGTAGCTGTCCCAAGGTACTTTTGAAAGAGAGGAAAAGCTGGGGAATCACATAAAATTCTCAGCATCCTTGCAAAAGTACTATTCCCAGGATTGTTTGGCAAGTCATGTGTTTTAAAATGGATTAATTTGTTTTATGGAATGCAGCTATGTTTCATGAGGGCTACAAATATACAATTTTTGTTTTATAATACACCTCCCCCCCCCAATAAATGTTAACGGTGAATGTTAAAAACATGTTAGTTTAACATTTCAGATTACTAGAGGCCTTAACAGTGATGAAACTGTCAGTAAAGATATATCCCATCACTATATCTAATAGTAAACTGGCTGCCCCCCTGTGTAGCCCAGGCTAGCCAGATCAAAAGCTAAGACGCATTAGCCCTGGCTAGTATTTGGCAAAACTACTATTCCCAGGATCCTTTGGCAACTCATGTGTTTTAAAATGGATTAATTTGTTTTATAAAATGCAGCTATATTTCATGAGGGCTACAAATATACAATTTTTGTTTTATAATACACCTCCCCCCAAAAAAATGTTAACGGTGTATGTTAAAAACATGTTAGTTTAATATTTCAGATTACTAGAGGCCTTAACAGTGATGAAACTGTCAGTAAAGATATATCCCATCACTATTAGTAAATTGGCTGCCCCCCTGTGTAGCCCAGGCCAGCCAGATCTTGTTAGATCTCAAAAGCTAAGAAGCATCAGCCCTGGCAAGTATTTGGATTGGAAACCTCCAAGGACTACCAGGATCATGATAGGGAGGCAGGCAATGACAAACCACCTCTGAAAGTCCCCTGCCTTGAAAACCCTATGGGTTTCCCAGAAGTCAGCTGTGACTTGACAGCACACACACACACACCTGGCTGCCTCCCTCCGCAAAACCAGGCCATCTGCAGACAAGGTAGGAGTCTCTATGTACTTGGAGACTGTCCCAGTTATGCAAAAAAAAAAACCCCAAAAAACAGAGACTTTGTAAATCAGCCAATAAAAAAGACCTCCCCACTAGGGAAAAAAAAATCCTGATGAGGAATGAAGATGCTCGAGAAGCATAGAACACCAAGAGATATAGAACATCAATTTAAATTTTTTTGGGGGGGAAACTGATTGAATTATCTCTGAGGGGCTTGGGTGGTATCTAAATTGTGGTCCCCTCCCATGATTCCTTGAGGGACCTCAGTTTGTCCTAGTATTAAGTCGCCTTTTGAAAATGTTCCTCCATTACTCCAGAACCATATTTAATCATGATGAGTAAGTACTGGTTGTTGTACTTCTGTTAAATATTTGTTTCATTCACAAGAGATCATCTGAAATGGAGCTATACACCCTAGGAGATAAACAAACCTGGATTTCTCTTTCTTCTCTGGGTAAATATTGTTTAGTGGCTAATAAGCATCTCTTAAGGTGAACTTCCAAATTGGATCTCACTGGTTCCATAGTAAATATTGAACCTGCTTGTTCTCATGATAGCTGGAAGTGGAAGAGGGCCACAAGACCTGCTAG